TGTATAGAGCCAAAGATGTTAGAATTGTGTCGATGTCCCAATATTTCTGGACCAGACTGTATATTGTATAGATTTTGACCACTTACTTCATCAGAGGATCCTAAGGAAATTCACAGCCACAGGAGAAGAGATCAGGTATTCATGTGGATTCCTAACTGGTTAACAAATTGGAAACAGAGTAGGAACAAATAGAGAATTGTGCTAAATAGGCTTCTCAAGGATGTGCATTAGGATCAGTACTTTTTAGTTTTATGAATGATTTGGAGTCAGGGTTGAACAATGATATGGTAAAGGTTTCTGACAACAGCAAATTATTCAGACTGATAATTTAAAAAAAAAGATGCAAAAAGCTTCAGAATGATCACTCCAAATTAGGTGAAATGGTTTTAAAATGGCAAATACAATTCAGTCAAAAGGACAAAATGACGCACATTTATGCACCCCCCCACTTTCATATGTACTTTAATGGGGTCTGAGCTGGCAGTGACTAATCAAGATAACATAAGTAGGAAATCTTAGGTCTGGCCAGTTTGAGAAGTGGAAAGTCCTGGAAGAGAGGTCAGTGTGCTGAAAGCAATATTCAGCTCAAATCATGCTGAATTTTGGGAGGGGGGCTCCTTTTTGCATGATTAATGACAGGAACTCAACTCTGGATTAATAAGAAGAAACCACTAAAGAGAAACAATACAAAAGAAAATGTGTCTGCCTAATCTATGGTTTTTAAAGTGCAATCTGTGGATTCTGGAGATCCGTTCTTATTACACTGAATTCCAATTATTCTTGCTATATTTGGCTCTAGCAAGTGATAGATCTGTGTTTTTTAATGGAATTTGTACAAAAATGTTTACTATAACACATGGACAATTTTATGGAGATTCTCAAAGGCAAAGGACTTACGCAGTCCTAGATTTATGCTTTGGCACCATATTTTTTTTAAGGGGCTGCCCATGGAGGCCATTTTTTGCAGTGCTGTCGCTACAGAGGAATTTAAATGTAACTTCCAAGATATTCGTGTAAACCCAGTAATTAAATATTGTAAACGATTACAACCCATATGTTTGAGTGTGTGATACTATAAAGTTAACTAATAAAAAATTAACAGGATGTGTCTCAGATACATTCTGCGCTGCGAAGATACAAACGTGATCTGTAATGTAATGCAGGTTTTGGTGCCATTCAGTGTAAAATCCGGAGGATCCATGTTTTTATGCTATGGCTGGCAAATGTTAGTCCTGTGGCATTTGTGCTATCCACGTTCACTGATCTGATGTACAGCTGGCTACACCGACGGGATCTCCATGCGTGCGTACGTGTGTTCAATGGATCCCCACCCCAAGGAAGCGTAAACAAGGGAGAAGTGTTTGAATTCCCACTGAATTCACCGCCGCTTTTTTCCAAGTAACGCGTACTTAGGTAAGGATGGTTACTGGATTGCAAGTATCATTCGCTTACAGCGGCGGTAACCCACGGCCGAGTCCGACCGCTCCAGACAAGACTACGGTAAGACGGTGGACTACCGCAATCTCCCAACTCTGCCACGAAAACCAGGCGGAATGTGAACGAACCTCAGATCTGGCGCCTCGAGGTAGCGCGAAAGGGGCGTGGTGCTGGGCCGGGCGTGCTTCGAGAGGCGCGAAGAGGGATTTGAGCACGTGAAACGCCGTCTCTGCCGCTCCACTCCCCGCCAGCCGTTTATTGTCTCTTTAAGGTCGTGGCGCGCGTGGATAGCGGCGGTTGTGGTGGTCTGTGTTTGTCTCGCGAGATCAGCGTTGGCGCCGTGACCTCCATGTGAGAGCAGCGGCGCCTTGGTAAACAGTCCTCGGGGTTAGGACATGGCTCCCGCCGGCGCCCGTTAGCTTAGCCGAGCCGGCAGCTCCCAGCTAAGCTCTGACAGGATTTGCCGCCATTCTGGGGTGGCTCTACAAAGCCGTTGCCGCCGGTGTGTCGCGAGTGGGGCGGGGGGGGATTGGGCGGGCAAGCGTAGGAGGATCCAAGGGTGCTGGCGGGCCGGGGAAGAGGAAGGCCGGCCGGTAGCAGAAGCGGCTCGCGCCGCGGTGGTCCTCGGGATTCAGGCAGCAGCTCCCCATCCCCACCCTCCGCTTCGCCAAGTGGAAAAATCCAGAGGCAGGAAGCTCCTGTTCCTTCTCTTTTCTCCTTCGGGAGCGCGCCATGTGGATCCAGATCCGGACCATCGACGGTGCCCAGACCCGGACTATCGACGACCTCAGCCGGCTCACCAAGATCGAAAGTCTGCGCGAAAAGATCCAGGAGAGCTTCCGCGTAAGCCCTGACCGGCAGCGCCTCTTCTACCGGGGCAAACAGGTGAGGCGTCCGCGACACTCCCTCTCCCCGGCCTCTTAGCTGTGCGCTGCTGCGGCTTTAACCGCTGCTCCGCTGCTGACCCTCCATCAAGGGGTTTTCTTGACCGTCGTCTAAGGGGAAGGAAGCAGTCGGGGATGCCTTTGTGCCGAGGAAAGGGACGGCGGCGACTTCATTCCGCTCTTCCTCCCTCTCCCCGTTTCCAGCGTCGTTGCACGCGAGGCATCTCCGCATCCCGCTAGCGGTTTCTGGCGAGACCGGGGAATGGGGATTCCTACGCGGGACTCCCGGGAAGCCGGGCGCCGCAGCTTCTCCCAGGCGGGGAAGAGAAGAGGCAGGTCGCGCGAGCTGCCTCTCGTGCGCCGCGCGCTACTTCCGGTGGTTCAACGGTCTCCGGCAAACCTTGGTACTGGCCGTGCTCCCCTCAGCTGCTTTCCCGGGGAAAGGAAGTTCTTGTCGTCCTCCTCATCTCTCGCGGTTCTCTGCCCTATGTTTCTTTCATTCCCCTTCCCCATCATTCTGGTGGGAAACTGGTAGCCAGCTCTGCTGATAAGATGAGCCTTTCTTCCAGAAATGTTGTACTAGGTTTTTAGCCTGAATGTAATCTCCTATTCGTCCTGAAGAATATCTCTCTGGTCGCTAAGAATTGACACTGGCTTGATGGCACCTAATCAGTCGTCTCCTGTTCTGCACACCTTTTGTGAGTGTTGCACTGGAACTCTAATTTCTGTTCACATTCTGATGTATTTATGCAAGATGCTGCCCCCCTCCCTAGTATACAGTGCAATAAATGCTGTAACAATCTGGGTTATTAGCCTGGTGCAGGCAAATGTTAATTTATTTCATTGTGCTATGTTAGAATTATGTTCTGTTACAGTATGCTTTTAAGTTGTATGGTGTTTGAGTATTGCCCTGATATTTCATTGTGATGACAGACTAAAAGTGCAAGGAAACATATTAATCACTGCACCATACTGTCTGTATAAAGTACACAAAAAAAGGTTGCAGAAGGGGGTTAAAGTAAGTGTGACTATAACATGGCTGTATATAAGTTGCCAGATTACTATACCCTAGACCTTAATTAGAAGTTTACTGGTAGTAAGGAATGAGAAACTAAGGACAGTATATAAAGCAAGCAAGGACACAGGAGAAGAACCAATAGTAGATGCTGTAGTAAGTAATATTGCTTCAGCACTGTTTCACAACTGACCAAGATAACTGGAAATGTTGGTGCATCTCATTTTTTGGGCTCAAGTGCTGGCTGGCTATCTCATCTCTGTGTATGAGGATAGGGAAATATGTTTTTTGGGGGTGGGTCTAATGGTAAAAAGGCTTCAAGTAAAAAGGTGCTGATTGCTGGACCAGTCTTGCTGATGGTATTCATGCATTTTGTTAAATCATAGCTTATTTAATTATTGTTTATTTAATACATTAAAACAGCCAGGTTTATATAATATGTAAAGTACAAACCAAACAAATCACACTATAGTGTTATGCAATAGGTAAATTCAGCTATTGTTAGATTTAGATACTAAGATCTCAGAGATAAATGTAATAGCCCTTTGAATACCTCAATATAGCAGAAATGAAGGATTTTATAGAAAATACTGCTGATAGTAGGGTTAGGCTGGAAATATTTTGGGTAACTGGTCATTCATATGGCTTTCTATCATGTATTTAAATTTTAAGGCGTTGGAAAATTTTAAAATTGGTATCACTGAAGTTTTGTGTTGTGTAACTTTTCAGAAATTGATTGTTTGGCTATATTTAGGTGACATGTTAAATGTGGTTTACAGTTAAGTCACTAATCCAGTGACTTCATATAGATAGCACAGGAAATCATGATTGCTAGTTTATCTTTTAATTAGTCATTGTGCTAGTAACATTGGTGTTGCTTTTAGGACTTTTTAGGTTTACTTTTGCAACGAACTACTACAACAAGAGGCTTGGATTCAATTGGATTAGATACACCATACACCTGTAGTACTGCTTTGTGACTACTTCTGCATAAAATGTTGTCTGGAGTTTTAATAGCTGATTAACAATAAACTTGCCTATTAGCCTTTGTTAATATACTAAGCCACAGTTGGCGCTGCTTAACAGAGAACAAAGTATGGCTACAGAATATAGTGATTCGCCTCTTGTCCAAATAATGAATTGACCATAATTCCTAGCTCAGATGAACAGTAGGCTAAACCACAATGTGTTGTGTGCATGAAGTCATCAAATTCACCCATTTGTTAAGACATAGCTTGTTTAAACATAGGTTCCTGATTAAGCCCCAATTGACTGAATCTACACATTGTACTATGTTGTAAATTGTCATTAATAGACTACTGTGGCTAAGTTCACAGCATTCTAAATCATCACTAAACAAGCTATATGATGGCTTAGAGGCAAGAGTTCTCAAGCTTTGTCATGCTGTGATCCCCTAAAATAATTTAGGTGGGAACCCCTTCTGTTCTGTTGGCATGTCCGAGCAGAGTGGGTGTCTGGCCTGAAAGTGATCCAGCTTTACATGAGGGCAAATTAGACTTTTGCATCCAGAGTTGGGTTGCTGTCTGAACTTGCTCCTGGGGCCAGGGTTCTCTTTTGGCAATTTTTGTGCTCACAGCAACATCTCTTGTAACAGCTCCAACCCGTTCCTCAGTACTCTCCAAGATAAGCCAGTCAGATTCAAGGTGTTGTCTAGTTTAATCTTTCTCTCTTCCAAGAGTATTTCTTTGGAGGGGGGGGGCGTCATGCTGGGTCCTGGTGCTGAGCCTACAAGTCTATTTCAGATAGCTCACCTTTTTCCTTTTATTTCTTGCAGTTTCTCCCTGCCTGGTGAAGTGCCCTCTATCAGGTGTTGCATGAAGTGATTTAGAAGGTGTATGTTGTATGTATGTAGTATACAACCTTGATGTACTATGTGGACAAAGGGTGGGGTTTCATAGCCTCCAGCTCTTACTTCAAATGGTATGGGGGAAGGAGAGAGAAACTGGCCAAAAATATTTAGTGCAGCAAATGTTGAACAGGCAGTTCTGAATGACAGTGGAGGGCTTGGCTTTTTCTTCCTGTGTTAGTGCAGCTATATCATGAAGTGTTTCAGCCTCAGGTGGCACTTTGGGCAAAAGTGAGACATGTGCCCCATATTTGAGAGCTTACTCTTGGAAATCTGGTTGCTGGCCCTGCACAAACAGCAACTTCACCCAGTGTCTACTTGGTGTACCCACAGGACATAGTCACAGGAAGCCACTCAGCCAGCTTTCATCTCACCCAGCTTGGCTGCCCTTGGAAATAGTAGCTGAAGAAAAGGTAATTCTCAAGCAGCTTGTTATGGCCATCTGTGTTGTGAGCAAGCCAGGTCTGTAAGGTGCTTTCCTCAGGAAAATATGGGTGCCTTGCTCCCTGTGGCTGCAACTCCTGTTGAAATTGGTCAATTAATAGCTGCCTTCTCCTCTACTGCAGGGCTGGGAATCTGCCCTCATGGGAACCAGAAAGTTGGATGCTCAAGCTTAGGCTTGGTTACCTTCCAAGCCCGGAGAAATTGTTGCTTTGGAGTGCTGTAGCCAGGGTTGGTCTTTTCCCAAGCCTGGGGAAATTGTGCCTATAATTAGATTTTCAATCAGGATTAAGCTGTGCTATCTGATCTCACATTCTCCCTGTTCCTGGACCCAGCACCTGGACCTATGATGCTCCCCAGGAAGAAGCTCAGGAAAAGCTGCCCTTGGAAGAGAGAAAAGGTGATAAAAGACCAAAGCACTCAGTCTTGGCCATGATCCCTTGGCAGTGCTTGTAAGCAAATTAGGGTAATTGCAGGAGTCGTCGTTAGTTGAAAACTATTGGAGGAGAGCCCCAGTACCTAGATCCTGTGCCCAGCTCAGTCCAGTATTAGCAGCTTGGTGAAGGCTGCCTGAGTGCAGACAGTAAGAAGTAGTCCAACCCTTTTAGATTTGTTCATGGCCCCTCTGGGTTGTGACTCACAGTTTGAAAACCCTTGGCTTAGCCTAGTGTGTGAACCCAGCCGTTTTGTAAAAGTTCAGAATTGGGACATGACACATCAAAATTTGTTTGCTCAGTCTGCATTCCTGCTTATGAGGATATGACTCGTACAAAATGATTTCATTGCAAATGAATTTAAATTTGTCTCATACTAAACCACAATTAAAATGGTTGTAGAATACTATATAAAATTACAGTAAATAAATACTGAAAATAGCCTAGCAATTACACTGATCTTGGTATGTATGGTTCTCTGTACTCTCTACTCAGGATTCAATAATTGAAAAGGAGAGATTTCTCTTACCACTCTCTCTAGGAGAATACAAACATGGCATTCCCATTTTTTTTAATCTACAAAATTCTGAGTGTCTGTTATAGTCTTCCAGACAATAGCTGCATCTCATTTATAAGCAGCTCCTGATCTGCAGTGATAAGAATATCTTTGCTTCACCATCATTGCTGTGAATCTGTGTTTATCTTTGTGAATGTTTTCTTTTTCTGCTGTGCACTAGTGTAAAAGAGGATATTGTTTTTAAGTTGAAATTATTTATCTGCCTCATTGCCCATGTTCCTCCCATAAAGGGAAGGAACCACCCCATTCTTCCTTTTGAATTAGTACTTCGAACTACTAAATAGAACTACTAAATAGAAATGCCTACTATTCTATGATTCTTAGTATTCCTGATTTTTATTATTGTACCAATGTTTAGGATTATTCTTGGACATACTCTTCTACCTCATCCTTCCTCTCGATGAGAGGGATAAAAACTTATTTCATTTCTCAGCTTATAATGAACAAGAGATTCTTTTGCAGCTTCAGCATGCCAGATGGATAGTGAGAGAAACCACATCTTTATAGGGTTCACATATCATATTCCTCATAGGATAGTTGATTCTTTTTTGTGTAAACCCATAACTGGCAATGTGCTTCAGATATTCAGAATGCTCAGATAGTTTAATTTCTCTGCAAGTACATGTAAAGCAGAAGCCTATACTACAGTACTGTGCTGATAGAAATG